GAGGACCCTATGTTAGTGCAGTATCTCAAAAGTCAAAGGAGCACTTTCTGTCTTAGTCTTATATGTGTGGACTTTTTATAAATTAAGGAAATTCAGAAAGATATCACATCCCAAGGGTCCTTGAGTGAAGATCTCCAAGCACCTACATGCTCACACTAGCCTCTGTGGAATGTTCCTTATTATGCCTTGTCATAGGTTGACCTAGATGGCTACATGTGAGTGCAGAGTGTCAAGGTTACAGAATGCTTTCCAGGTGGGAGGACTGAACTGTCACCATCAGGATATATTTCTGGTAGGGCTGTACATGTAGGGGGGTTCATATCACCATCATACATTGTTCAATACAGAAGCCATTTATCTTTACAACAAAAATCCTTTGAGCACCTCCTGTATGTCAGACACTGTTCTAGAAGCTAAGCACACAGCAGCAAAAAGACAGATGTAGGAGAGATAGACAACAAACCAAAAGTGTAATTATTGGTTAGCTATTGATACATAACAAACCACCCCCCGCCCCAAAATTTAGAGCAGTCGTTTATTTTTAGCTCACATACCTGTGAGTCAGCTGATCTGGATGGTTTGTTATGTATCAAAGCTCTGTTGGCTTTGCTCAAGTTTCTCTGGGCCCATGGAGGTGCTCGTCTGCCCTCCTACGACGAGTGAGCTAGTCCATGAATGTTCCTTTGAGGCATTGATAGAGAACCTAGTGAGAGGAAGCTGAAATGCACAGGACCCCTTGGAGCCTTGGCTTTTAACTGGCACCCTATCACTTTTGCCTCATTCCATTGGCCATACCAAGTTCACATGGCCAAACCCAAAGTCAAAGGGTAAAAGGTGTAGATGCAGGTTGGAGTAAAGAATTGAGACAATAATGCAAGCACTTATGGTATAAGGCCAAATAACAGAAAGGGCAATGAAGAAACATAAAGCAGGTTCATGGCTCAAGCAGATCAAGGATGCAACTTTTGGTATCCAGGTATTATGGGATGGTGTATTGTCATAACCTTGGGTGTTTTTAGCAGGCTATAGACATTGAGGGGGTGCAGCTTCAGCATTATGTTATGTTATAATGCTGTATGGGATGGATTTCCCTCCCTGCTCTCCAAGTAGCAAGTGCCCCTGCACACCTGATAACTATTGAGTCTCATAAGGACATCTGTCCAGTTTCTCACTATTCTATTCAAATGCCTGATCACAGCAGCAAATTTAAAGAGTCCCACGATTTGACTAAATTATCTCTGTGGGATGATATCCCAGTTGCTCCTTTCCTCACACGCACATTCATGTGCCTGTATAGATGACACACAAGCACTGCACACACCCACACAGCCACCTCCACACACTCAGAAACCATGTCTTCATCCACATCAGTCAATGAGAGGAAAGTCTCAATCCCTGGAACCTCAGGAAACAGCTGCAGACTGTTGGGTGATGGTTCCACCAGCTCCACAGCCCGGCTGATGTGCTTTGAAAAGGAATGTGGACCTGGAATGTGTCTGAACACAGACATGGCTTCTGGGGAACCCATCGCTGCAAAGGCTGCTGGGGCTCTTGGAGGGCTGTAGTGGGGGAGGTAGAGGAGGGGTAGTTGGGAGGTGGATTTTAGCTTCAGTATTTTGTTGCCACCATCAATCAATCAGCCAAAAACCCCTCATTAGGAAGCTGAAGGGAGAACACGGCAAAACAAACAAATGTATTTCTTCTTCAGAAATCTGTTATCACTGGAATAAAATGACTTTTCTCCTATTTTTGTTAAACAAAACATGATATTTTTGGTAAAATGTACATTCTGTGAGAGTAGAGTGGAGTAAGAGGTAGAGGGGAAAAGTAACATCATTTTTTTTTTTACAACAATCCTTGGAATGTTGCTATGTTGTTATTCCTATTGTATGGATGAAGAAATCGAGGTTGGGGAGTAAAAGCTACTTACCCAATACAAGTGAAGTCCAGAGATCCCAATCCAGATGTCATTTTTTTGGACAAATTTCTTTCCAACTTCCTAGCCTCTATGGCAGGGGTGGGCAAACTTTTTGACTCGAGGGCCACAAGTGGGTTCTTAAACTGGACCGGAGGGCCAGAACAAAAGCATGGATGGAGTGTTTGTGTGAACTAATATAAATTCAAGGGAAACATCATTACATAAAAGGGTACGGTCTTTTTTTTTTTTAGTTTTCTTCATTTCAAACGGGCCGGTTCCGGCCCGCGGGTCGTAGTTTGCCCACGGCTGCTCTATGGTTTCTAGAAATGAGCCTCAAGGCCTAAGAAGACTCTGAAAGTTACATTTGTAACTTATTACAACTCCCAATAGCTCCCCTACTGAAGTAGGAAGGGATGGGGACTGGCCCTTTGGGCACATCCACCTAGAATCAGTTGAGGTTGGCTAGAGCCACTCTGCCTGCCAGTAGAATAGCTCAGGACAAAAGCCCAGGACCTTGGGGAATGCCTGCAAGCTCCTGGCTGGAGACAGACTCAGCAGAATTTTGGCCAGGCAAATCTGTAGCTAGCTTCACTGGTGCCCTCAGATGCACAAGTTCATCTGCAGCCTAGGAATCACAGCCTGCAGTTACCTGTTGTGGGTCAGCACCTTAATTCAGTACATTGATGAAGCTGAAACAACCTCACCCAAGATTATTATCCTCCTTTAGGGAGCAGCTGGCGCCTGGGAACACAAAGGTTCTTCAGAGATGGCTCTATTAGGGTCATCTCTGAAGGACCACTCTAGTCCCAGAGCTCCCCTGGGATTGGCTGGGTCCTCTACTGCAAGGACAGCTGTGTTCACTTTCTACTTCTGCCAATTTGTTTCCCCACCTCTTGCAGCTGTTGGTCCTGAGAACACTCCCCAATAAGCTCCATCTCAGTACCTATTCCAGGGAAACTGGCCTGTCTCACACTGGTGATTAAATACATCAGCCTTGAAGTGACACCTGTCTCTTTTGCTCACAGCTTATTGGCTAGAACTAGTCACACTTACCCACGCTAACCACAAGGGGGCGGCAAGTGCAACCCTTCCATGTGCCAGGAAGGGGGAAAACTGGACCTACTTGGTGAGCAGCAGTAAACATGATGGAATAGGGAGACCATGGAAAGGTCCAGGAAAACTATGAAATCAATAATACTGCTTTGTACTTTGTACACGTGCATCCTTGGAAACACCCTACTCTTAGTAGTGCTTCCTAACTGGCTGTCTGCTTGTGGAAATGTAGCTGGAACATCATTTTACTGCTACCATTTCCCCTTATCATGGTTTATCATCTGCCAAGCTGTCCTCTGCTCTCTCTCTCTTTGTGCCTGCTGATCCTATGGGCTTGGCTCAGCTGGCCCCCGATTCTGCCCTGGAATGGAGAAAAATCAGGATATTTCATAATGCCTTGATTTGAAGCAGGTCTGGCTCCAAAGAATTTTGTTTTATTCTTACTGGTGAGCAATGTGGGGATGGGTCTCCACACACATAGGTTCCAATCTGAGACAAGTACAACATCTATCAAACACTGTGACTGCACTTCTTAGAGGCTCAGGGGCAATGCTACCTTGAAAAGAGGACAGTGGAAAGCTGGAAGAAGCAGAAGTATTCACCTTTCCTGGGCTCTTCTGGGAGCTGTTTGGCCAACATTGCCATCTGTTGGGCTGGCACTGGCTAAAGCAGCTAGGTGGTCAGATGACATTGCATCTTCATTAATGACCTTGGGCCACATGAGATGACCTTGTGATAGAAGAACTGACAATGAAATAATTTTTTAAGGTGCATCAGTTTACATCTGTTGAGTGGTTATTTTGTTATTTAATCCTCATCACATCCTTATGAGTTCAGTATAATGTATATGTTTATTTAACCATTGGACAGAGGCAGAGACAGTATGAGTAACTTATTAGTCAGTGGTAGAACTGCAGGTTAAGCTTAGGCAACGTGGCTCTAAAAATCTTTGTTCCACCCCACACTCACTACTTCTTGATTAAGTTTAGACATCCCTTTCACACAAACTAATGGTGGCCTCCATGTTCCAGGCCCTGTGCCAGATGCTAGGAATACAGCCCCATCCCTTGGATCACCAGGTAGTGTCCTGCTAAATTATATAACACATAATACACTTATTCCATTATTTGGCATCAAGGGAAATTATGTCAGAATATATTTGTATAATAAGAACAATGTAGCTTATATATTTCTCTTATTGCTTTAGCCGCCAGGAAGCTCAGATCTAAATCAGAGAAAATTTATTAGAGTTTGGGTTTAGCATTTCAGTTTCCTGATTTCTTTCCTTCTGGCCCAGATTTTTTATATTGGTTGCATAAATTCTACTGCACAAATATCCTGTATTATCGAACACCTTAATTCCTTTTTAGGAGGCTGCATGGAAATGACAATGTAAAGTCTTTATTGCATATTCTTAGATTCCTACTGAGAAAGACAAACCTAGATATCCCTCTTACCCTCATTTCCATAAGACTCCATTTGTAAAATCCCCTAAGACATGGGTACTACTGTTCTGAGTTTTGGGGCAATAGCTAGGAGCTTCCAAAAGATTATATCCATATAGAAAATAAAAAAGTTTCCTCACATCATGGTCCCAACTTTGGAGCCAGATGAATGTTTGTGGAGTAGGTGGCCAGTCAGATTCTCATCTGAGCAGTTAATAAAGTCTATTGCCCCTTGATGGATTTTTTTTCTGCAAGCTAGAATTGATCTGTCCTCTTTGTGATTTGTGTGATGGCAGGGAAACACCAAACACCATCATGACTTGGACCACATGGGGAAAAAAAGAAAGAAAAATAAAAAATAAAATCCATTGCCAGGTCTTTCCAGGCGTAGAAAGGGCTGGAACTGTTGGGGTAATTTTATTTGATTTATTGGAAATAAAGTAGATCTTATTAACATTTTAATAAAGAGAATCTTTTTGCACTGAGCTGTAAGTGGCCGCCAGTCCCGGGTGCAATTCCATTCTCTTCATAAGTGGAATCTGCTGGCGATGCCCAGCGTGATTTGTGAGGCTGGGCCCCAACAGTCCAAAAAAGCAAATGGGCTGCCTCCTTTGAGGGTCTCGCTTTGCGCGAGGTGCTCGCCCCGTATCTGCCATGCAAAACGAGGGAGCTTTATGAAGGAATCCGTCTTGTAAAGCCATTGGTCCTGGTCATCAGCCTCTACCCAATGCTTTCGTGATGCTGCCGCTGATCTATTTGGGAAGTTGGCTGGCTGGCGAGGCAGAGCCTCTCCTCAAAGCCTGGCTCCCACGGAAAATATGCTCAGTGCAGCCTCGTGCATGAATGAAAACGCCGCCGGGCTCTTCTAGTCGGGCAAAATGCAGCCGAGAACTCCGCTTGCCTTGTGTATTCTCCTGTCCCAGGTAGGGAAGAGGGGCTGCGGGGGCGCGCCCTGCGCCCTGGATCTGCATTCCGATTGCTTGATGCCGGCAGAGTGAGGGGGCTTTCGGGGCGCTAGGGGACCCTGGAGCCGTGGCAAAGACAGCCCTGGGCTTGGAAGGGAGGTCATTCTTCCCAACCCCAGAGATCCTAGGGCGTCCCGGTGGGTTGGTTACCCACTCCGCTGTGTGTGTGTGTGTGTGTGTGTGGTGTGTACGTGTGCGCGCTCGCTCGCGTGAAGGGGAGAAGGAGAGAGCTCCGGAGTCCTGAGTCCTTTATTTTGCAAGCCGGGGCGACATTCTCGCCTACATCAAGTGGCGTAACTTTGATTCGCCTTCTCCCGGAGGCTCGTGTATTGGAGAAAGACTCAGTTGGAAAGGACTCCAAGGAGTCGTTGTTTTACCAAGCTCAGCGCGGATCAGGGAAGCGCCGCTTGTGTCGGGATTGTGGGCTGCTCTGCGGCTGGAGAGGATGGCCTGGCATTGCTGACTTCCTGGGGCGCCCGGGCCCCCTCACCCAGCCCGGCGGTGCGCGCTGGAAGGTGCCTCGGGCTAGCCTTGCGCAGCAGCGGCTGCTGCTGTCGCTCAAAGGCGCCCGTGGCAGTTGCTCCTGCTTGGGGGTCCTTTCCTTCCCCAACCTCAGGCCGGGAAAGACCGGAGTGCGTCCCCTGTCAGGGCACAGGCCCCAACCCCCTACGCTACACCCCATTTGTCCAGCTAACTGAAGCTTCAGCCCTGAGTCTTGGTTGCCGCCTCTGCTGCTTTCTTGGGCGGGCAGGCAGGCAGGCAGGCGGGGAACAGAGAAAAGTTCAAGCCTTGCCCACCGGGCCCCAGCTGCCTGTTAACCCTCGGAGGGAAGGAAGGGAGCGCTGCGCTGTGAGGGAAGCCCTGAGATTCCTAAAAGGGGACGATGGAGACACGGTCCTCCAGCAACCACCTATGTATCTGAGAGATCTCTGGAAGTTTGTGTATAGGAAAGCAGTACAACGGAGGTGCTGGAGGCTGAGGGGCACGCCCAGCACTGCTCAGGGACCCAGTCCCCTAGGTCTCCCTGGCAGCCTAGAAGAGGAGGGAAGGAGACAAGGAGTGCCTTGGGGTGCTAGAAATGGGTGTTGAGTTTCTGGCCAGGATTCCTGGGTGCCAGGGGAAGAGGCACATGTATGAGTATGTAGGTGAGAGGGAGAGTGAGCAGCTAGGGACCCAGGAAGGGGCAGGTTTAGGGTGAGGAGATGTAGTACAGCCTTCTAAGGGGAGACCACTGCTGGGTCCAAGCTAGTGTTGACTTTGGAATTTGACCCATGTCCCATGGAGAGCACTCAGAGTGGGGGTGGCAGTGTGTGAGAGTACTTGGAGCCTCCTTCCCCCACTCATACTCCCTTACTCAGTTGTACGCCTCTTCTACCAAGGTTTGCTGGTTGATTCTCTTAGGGTTTCTGTAGCCTGTAGTCCTGCCACAAATCCTATGCCTGTCTATGAGCCAGTTTTCCGTCCTTTCTACACTAATTATTCCCGAGGCTGTATGTAGGGATACACAATCCTAATTCAGCAGGGTAGTGAAGAGAATGCCTCTGATTCAGACAGATCTGCTCTGCCATATGCTAGTGGTACCACTCTGGGCAAGTTGCTTAATCTCTCCGAGCTTCCATATTCTCCAGTGTAAAATAATCCTTTCACCTTCATAGGCTTGCTAGGCAGATTGTATTGCATTGAAAAGGATGTCCCAGGTAACACAATTACCATGAGGCCTGGCTCACAGGGAGCTGTCGGTGTCTGGGAGCACTTACCACTACCTTACCTAGGACTTCACAGTCTCTGTGGGCATGCTTTGCCCTCAGTTTGGATTCCAGGGCTTGCCCAAAGTTACGCCTCCTTTTGAACAAGACAGACCACAGCACCCAGCAATCCTTATGCACTGGGGGCTTCTCACATGATGCCTTTTGCAAAGCAACTGGTGTGTCTCAGCCAAGGCCCAGCTAGCACAGGTGGGTTCTGAAGACTCACAGCTCACTCCGTTCCTTTAAAACGAATTAAATTGCCTGCCCTGAGAATCATATTTCTCTTTTAGATTATTATGCATAATCAGAGCAAATGTCCACATTAGGTCAGTAATTGATATCCTGGTAGCGGTAGCACCTTGCAGAGAAATCATGCTGGCGCAATCCAGTTACCCAGCAAGAGGCTTAAGTGCAGAGCTCTTGAGGGCCATGGTGGGGAAAGTGGGGAAAGTCTTGGGGGCTTTGAGTCAACAAGAAAAAACAACACAAAACTTTCCTGAGGCAGAGAGAAAACAGAAGAAAGGGAAAAACAATGTAATAAAGCAAATTAGTCACTCAGCCCTCATGGTGTTCAGGCAAGCATGCGTGTGTTTTTCCACCTCAGTGGTAAGGTGCTGCGTTCAGCTTTGGAAGATATCAGTCTCTGTAAGTTTATTGGCGGGGCAGGGAGAGGAATTCTAACCAACAATGGCTGGGAACTGGCAAAGTTAAGGACAATCAGCTCTCTTTTCCCCTGGGTGTTTTGAGAAAGATTGTCCCAGAAGTGGCCTCTGGAATTTGGCTATAATAAAAAAAAAAAGAGTAGCATGAGCTAGAAATTCCACTGTAAATATGATTCCCCCTCCCATATTTGGGTATCACAACTAGCCAAAAGTTCTAACAATAAATGAGTAATCCTCCAAGAATTAGGATTTTAGGGAGTGGTTCAGGTTTGGAGAGCAGTCACTTAGGAGTGACTACAAATGTTCCACAGAATTCTGAGGTGTTGATTTTAAAACAGGAAGTCCTTTCTTGGAGTCAGAATTTTGGCTTTCAGGATTTTAAGTGAGAATCGGTGTCTTCTAGTGCCCCTTCAACTTCCTATATTATATTCTAAGGGCAGTGTTTTTTTGCAGAACCATTTTGATGAGGATAAAAGATTGAGGGTTGCAGAGAGTACTCCTGCCCTGAGAAGGGTCCAGCATGTAGCAGCCTATGAGACTTCAATAGCCCTGGGGAAACAGAGATATAGGTGGTGAAAGGAATTAAAGTGGTAGAGTTAATGTGTCTGAAATTTTTTTTAGCAAGTCCCCAAAGACATTTAATAAACTGCAAGGCTGAATATGTGATCTGGAATTTATGTAATGCCATAGTCTGTATTAAAAGCCTCAATAGTCATTTTAGCTAATCTCTCCTACTCTGTCTCCCCCCTCCTCCCCGCCTTTTTAATTTTTAGCCATTGGGTTTTCCATTAAACAAAATCTATTTCTAGAAGTATTCTGTATGTGTTAAAACTGCCCAACAAACCAATGTACCCAATAACTGCATTATCTGTAAGTACCAGCATTTAGATGTGTACATGGAGTCTCAGCCTGAAGTTCACTGTGTAGGCAAAAGTTCAGCTAGACTCTTGAGGATATCCTTCTTTCTTTCCCTCCTTTCAAAAAAAAAAAAAAACAAACACAAAACAACAAAACAAAGCAAAAAAAAATAGTTCTTTGAGGAGTAGAGTTAATTTCTATTTGTGGGAAGTAAGGAAAAGGAGAGAAAAAACCACTATGGATTCAATTCATATATGAATGACATATCATCTAAATAGCCAATAATATGTCCTAATTATCTTTCTCTCTGTATGTGACTATGTGTGTGTGAGTGTCTATCTCTGCTTGTTTTTATCTTGTTTTAATATCTGTTGAAAAATTTCTCCAGAAGAGGGCTCCATTCACAGCATTACACAATTCTGAATCTACAGCTCATATTTTAAACAACTTCAGTATAGCAGCTCCATTAAAACCAAACTAGTTTCCTATTCCCAATTGTTTGCTACAATGAGAAGTCCTGTCATTTTGCACTGAGTATCTTTCCTTGTTTTTTTTTCCTTCCTTTTTTCCCTATTATAGTTGCTTCTGTTTTATTTTATTCTCCAACTATGTATCCCCTCTGAGTATTAGAGCAAGGGAAATTTCAAAGACCTTTGTAGACAATGCAATATGAAATGCAAGGAAGTTCTGAAATTTCCTGGCATTTGACTACAGTTGGACCTAGCTTACTCTTCAGGCAGCCAAAAGGCAGGCACAGTTCTGCCTGTGAAAGGAGATAATCTGCCCCATTAGGTAACTACCCAGAAGAGTGAGTCATGAGCCAGATCCGCTCACCCTTCAACACCAGTTGAAAAAGAGAGGGAAATATCAATCTGTCATCCAATTACAATAATCAGTTGGACAGAATCAAATCAAGTGACCAGTGGTTTTGGCAATGTTTCCACTTAGCTGTCTGCAAGGTGCCCACACGCCTGGGAGGATCTGACCCTCCTGACAGATGCTGCCAATACAATTCCTCACAGCCTGTCTCCTCTGCAGCCACCCAGGGGATCCCGGGCCTGGATCCCCCTACCTGAGCAGACTGTACAAAGGATGACTAGCTGGACTGTAGGATCCCCTGCACCATCACCATACACTAAGTATTGGCTTTATTTTGGGGTTAGGGTAGAAAACTACTTTCTCTACTGGGAGAAGCAGCTAAGAACAGGCTAGAGAAGAAAGAAATGATCTTTCAAACTTGAAATGCAGACTGATCCAGGTTTTATGGAGGTGAATGGTCATCCTTTGGTTTAGCAGATTGAACCTTGCAATATCAGTTTGATGGTGCTGAAACCCATCCATCTCAATTCTGCAAATCTGGCTTCGGGGTAGAGTTTACAGAGTGCCAGCCACAGGCCGAATGTAGCTCATGGATGTATCTCTTTGGCCCAAATGTTTTGTAAAGTGGGACATTGTACTTTAAAAACAAGTCTAGGTTTCTTGCATTTCTTAAAATCTCAGAAAATCAGGCAACCCTAGAGCTGCATTTTTACATGGCCACACCATTGGAGCTGAGTCATTACTCTCCCCTTTGGGGAGGACATGCCTCTGAAGTTTGTCACAGTCCCCACCTCTCCCTACTATTCACCTAGCCCCATGGTCGGCAAACCGCAGCTTGCGAGTCACATGCAGCTCTTCCACAAAATACCAC